TCTCTCTCTCTCTCTCTCTCTCTCTCTCTCTCTCTCTCTCTCTCTCTGTATTGTGTGTATAAATATATGCATGCATTTCTATGCTGGTGTACAGGCCTCTGGAGACCAAAGGACAACTTTGGGTGTCATTCCTCAGAAGCCATTTACCTTTCTGTGACATAGGGTCTGCAGCTTACCTAGTAGGACCAGTGAGCCTAGGAGATCCAGCTGTGTATGCCTCCTCAGCAGCTGGGATCACCAGTGCATGCCACCATGCCTGGTGTTTTTACGTGCCATTTATTTCATGTAGTTAAGTAATACTAAGTTAATGCTAGACATCTTTCTGAAAGTCTTTGATCCTGTCTCTTTATTTTTTGTGCTTTGAGGGTATTGATTAAGTGCAGGCCATGGTATGCCTTCCTGGTTGGCTCTAGACTCCACTAGATCTTTGCTTCAGCACAGTAGGTGAGACTGTATACCCAAAGCCAGGTAAATATTCATCGAGCTTATGGGGATACTTACACAGGCTTCTTCCAGCTAGTGTCTGTGTGACCAACACTAGGCATGACCTGGAAAATGGATCCAGAGTCTTTTTCCTTGAAGGATTTTCTTAGCTTTGAAACAGTATCCTGGAGCATCCAGGAGTTCCCAGGGCAGGGAGGGGTCAGTGAGCTCAGTGATACAGACATGCTAGGAGGAACCCATGCTTCAAAAGCACAGGGCGAACTCAGCAGAGCCTGGGCTGTCCTGCCTGGGCATTGTTACAGTGGGGAATCATCCATATGGACATCTGTTTCTCAGATTCTCAATCTGAAATACTGTTTGGGTACTAACATGAGGCCACAGATGGAAAATTCCATACCTGATTCACGAGAGAGTCCACAGTCCAAATGCAAATTCACCTAACTATCGTTTTACTGTTGGGCACTGAGCACACATGCATATAAAACAGTGACTATCATACTTAGATAGATATCTGTTACACTGTGTGTAAACAAACATTCTAAAATCTGAAAGAACATGAAATACATGTCAAATGCTTCAGGTAAGGGAGACTCCATTCATATCTACATGGCATGGTCTTGAAGAAGCAACTTGACCTCAGCCTGCTTTGCTGTGTCCCATTTAGCCTTTTCTTTAACAAACACATGAGTCCTGCTCAGTGAGCAAAAGCCCTGCCTAGATTCTAGTGAGGGAGGAGACAACTTGAATAACCCACCAGGGAAAGAGAGTGATAGGGTACCAGTTTAGATTAGGGGAGTGCCAAGGACTTTGAAGAGTTGGTACATGGGCAAACACCCAAGAGAACCATACGAATAAATGGAGGAGAAATGTCCTAGAAAGAAGGAACCTGGGGAAGATAAGCTGAGGTAGTGGTATGCTATGGTTTCCAGGAGCAACTAGAGTCTTGTGTGATGGTGTAGAGGAAGGCAGGAGTCAGGGAGTACCTGGGACACATGGTGGGACTTAGCTAAGCCTTTAGATGCTATCATAAGAGGTTAAAGGTTTTTGATCAAGGTTACTATTCTGAAAGGATAGATGACTTTCACTGTTGCCTGTTGAGAGAATAAGTCTCAGGCAGGGAAGGGGAAGAGTGGAGCACGGGATGGCTCTGTAGCAGCTGGGAGAGACACTATGGGCTTGGCAGGGAATGATAGCTTGGATACAGGGTACAACAAGACTATAGACTCTCTAATATTAGGATCTATATTTTTCACTAGGGAGCAGGAGCACATTGTGGAACAGGCAAGTTGGGAGTCATTTCTGAACTGGCCTCATCACCGGAAGGTGCTGGCAGAATGAGATCATGGTGCAGAACCATGATGCATAGGCAGAGAGGGAAGGGCAGCAAGATGCCTAAGGAACCAGAAAGCCTGGGCTGGTGCCAACTTGGCCTCTCTTGGCTTCCTTTCTATATGGTAACAGGGTGAGAATATTGGCCTCCTGGGAGAATAGTCGGGGAGAAAGATACAAGACTGGATAAAAGTGATAGACTATACTCTGAGACTGGACTTACTGGAATCATGGCATAAGCATCATTCTGCGTGGAGGGGCTCAAGACCTCTGAGCTTCTTAACCCTAGACCCTGGAAGGGTGACCAAGATCCCACTTCCTGGTTTTAGTTAATGGGATAGAAGAGTGGCAGGGCTGAGGGTTCTGGAATGGAGATTTGAGACGGCTGCAAGGAGGAACTCCCTTGCAGCAGCCCCAGCAGCCCCCTCCCTCCTTCCTCTTGCCTCTCTCTGGACTGGTTTCCTCCATGACTCACTTTCACAGTTAAGCCTCCTGGAGAGGATGTCTAAGCCCCAATTCCAGCCCCAAATCCTCTCGGCTTTGGCTTCCTAAACCCAGTAGACATTTTAATCTAGAGATCGTACCACTTGCTCACAGAGGACCCTAAAGGACATCCCTCCTCAAGGTAGCACCCCTTCCTACTGGCCTATGGCTGCGAATTGCATCTACTTCTCAAAGGTCCACACTCAGTACCTTGCAGTTCCCACCTCGCGATGTTTATTAAGCCTAAGGTCCTGTAACTATCCCTTTGATACGCTCTTTATGCATCCCTCCTGAGTTTCTGTCATCATTACTGTCACCCTAGCCCAGAACTTTGATTTCTTATCTGGGTTATTTCAGTCACTTCTTATCGTTCTTCTACTCCTATCCCCAATCCCTGCAGGACAATGATTGTCACCTCATCAGCTTTAACTCATGGGTCTGATGACAGTGTCCTGGCAGTACTGAGGGTCAGCCACTGCTGGTGGAATAAGCTGGATTCTTAGCCTATCAACCAAGCCCTTGCCTTTTACTTACTCGCTTGCTTTTACTTTCATGTTCTTTTGCTTTAGGGCAGGGTGGATTACCTGTGAATCCACAGGGAATTATCAGGTAATGAACTAGGCTAAAGTTTTCCCTTTTGTGTCTCTTCGTATAGGTCACTAACATTGTTGAGCACTTTGGAGCCACAGACAGTGTCCTGGGTTCTTCCTTTACAACGTACTAGATAAACACGTTAAGAAGTAGGTGTTCTGGCTCTGGATTAGACAAGAGAAAGCTGGCACTCACATAAGTTTAGATAATTTAGGCAAAATGTAAAGGTAGTCCCTAACGCTAGGGCTACCTGACAATGAGTTTGTTCATCTTGCTTCAGTGTGTTCCTTATCCCTGAATTCCCCTTCCCAGTTCCATAAGCAAGGTGGTACCTGGCCGTTCCTAATGCCCCTCACACACACACACTTCCCATGTGTGAGGCTAGCTTCCTAGCACAATGTCTATCTTTCTCACCACTTTCCCACTTTTACTGGAAGAATTTTTGGGTCACCTTTGCTCTGGTTACTGCCATTCAGAGATGTTAAAAACATCCTCAACAGCACAGGAAGAACATCTTACTGCTATACTGTTTTCCTTGTGGGACTGGACCTAGGGCAAAGCCTGATACTAAGAACAATGAGTATCTGCAGTGGGGTCTTGGGGCCTGACCCTAACTTGACTTCTGTGGGCTACATCTGGACCCTGAGAGCCGGGTGGGCTTTCTGATTCCACTCTACTCAGTTCTGTAGAGCTTCATTACCTCAACTGACTAGGAAATGACACACACTCTCAGGTTAGCCCCAGAATCTTTGTGCAGATAAGTTTGACAGGGTGGTCCTGGGAGGAATTGTGTTTATGCTACCCCAGCCTCATAAGGATTGGTCAACTCTGGCAGGCTCACCTGGATCCATTCATGTGGTCATACTCCCGCTTGACATTGACCCTCACTGGCTGGTTGATCCACTCCTGCTGTGGTGGCAAGGGGTTGATTTTGTGGGGCTGCCCGTAGTCAGGACTCCCCGAAGCAGTCATGTCTGCCTTGGGGAGATGGGCTGCCGCTCCGTATGCTGAATCAAAAAGGGACTGGTCGTCACTCACCACTGACAGAGCCTCCTGCAAGAGGGGAGAAGAGACAGGAAATTCAGTATCAATTGTCACCCATGCCAGCAACACCCCTACTCTAAGATATCACGGTGACACTGGACAGCACTCATGAATCCACAGTTGTCCAAGGTAATAGATTCACAGTCAGGGCAGGCTTACCCCTGCGTGGGTAGAAAGGAGTGTGAACATTGGAATGGAAGAACACTAGAAACAGGTGTACTTGTTAAGTGTGCAAGCTAGAAGCCCCATAAAGGAGAATGAATGTTGTAACAATGGTTTAACAGGTGGTACCAGTGTTGGTTCTAGCTTTGAGACATAGACAGCTGCACATTTTACTAACTGTATGGCATAGTCAAGTAGCTAGGAGAGATGAAAATGAGAATTTATTTCACAAGTGAGATCATGGAGAGCCACCAGAGAGTTTGTCTAGACCTGAGCTGCATAAGGGAGTCAGGGAACCCAGAACTTCAGCTAGTCAATTTTGTTGTCCCAGTTGGTAAGAATGAATAGTTCTTTTCTTTGCTAGTTTGCTAGGTGACATAAATAAACAACTCTGGTCCAAGTGTTTGGTAAGAATGAACAGTGGTGTGCTGAGGACTCTCTATCGGGTGTGAGTATGTCCGGCAGATCTTAGTGTTGATGGTTCATCCAAATAATTCAGGAGGAAGCTCAGATATATAGAAAAGACAGTAAGTAAGTGTAAGGTCTCTCTGTAAGAGACCATGGTTTCCCAATTCATATTGTCCTATCTCCTGACTCAGGTGAGGCTTTTGGTAACGGGTTAAGAAAAGTAGTCTTACTCTTTCAAGAGATCGTGTGCTGATAGAAGCACGGAGACAATATCCTCCCACTACTCCAAATCACATTTAGCCAGAGGGATCCAAGGCTGGGGTACAACATTCACCAGAGCCAAGTAGTGCACAAAAGAAAGCTGGTCATGTTTCAGAAAAAATGGTAGCAACCTATAATCACCTCATCACCTATGTGTTCTATTCCATGTAATATGATTGTGAAGGAAAGATGGAACAATCTATGGGAAATAGCTATAGCAACACTAAGCACAGAACAATACTCCAGAAAGACTAGCAATGATGACCATTTGTGTTCAAACAAGGGTTCTGTTGGGTTCTTGTTCTATGCCGGATTCTGTTTCCTCTCAAATCTATATATCAAATTCCTAACCACCTGTAGCTTATATTATGATCCCACTTGGAAATAAGGCCTTGAAGGATATGATTAATTTGAAATAAGAATGTGAAGGTGGGCTCTAAACTCAACTGACTCATTATAATAAGAGATTTAGACACACAAAAACCCTAAGGATGGCTGTGTGCTGAGGACTGACCATGTAAGGCATGTAGGGAGAATGATTATCTGTAAGCCAGAGCAAGAAGCCTCAGAGGAAGCCAGCCCTGCTGGCACTCTGACCTTGGATTTCCAGTTTTCAGAACTGTGAGCAAATAAATTTATGTTGTTTAAACCACTCGGCCTGTGGTGTGTTGCTATGGCAACCCTGCCTTTACTTAAGAACAGAATGATAGATGATGAGACCCTTTTAAATCTTGAGGTTTGCCTACTCTCCCTACATAATTCATATCTCTGCCTGGAATGCCTTCTCTAAAACAAATATCCTTGCTATGTCTGGATGTCCTTCATTCAGACCTAAAGGCTGCTGGGACCCTTCTGGTTTCACCTGCTGTCCCTGGGTAATGTCAGGGGAATACTGTGGCTCTGGGTTCATTTGTATTTTGGTTCTTAGATCCATTCTTCATTTCAGTGAAGGTTCTTCTCCGGCTTCACATCCCAAACACTTAAAGTTTTACATGGACACCTAGTATATAGCTCCAAGTCGAAAACCGTGAAGTTATGGCCTTTCAGAGGGCTGAGCATGAATCTTTGACATTATATGGGTGCCACCCATGATTCATTAGTCTCCCTTTGGAAAAAAAAAAGCAGAACAAACCCCAGATCTGTTGTAGATACATATGACATCTAAGCAGATTTCTTCTGTAGAGAACAGACTATGCCTGTGGTTAGTCATGAGTCAGTCTTGAGAGTTCCAGCAAAATCATACAATGTCAGAGTTGAGGACATCTGGGAAGGAGAAGTGGACATGGGGATGCTGTGGTGTAGGGAAGGTCCTGTCATCACTGCCATCCAAACAGGGAAGTCAAAAGCAACAACAGGCAGGATCATTGAGCCCAAGGAGGACACACAGATGGTACAGCCAGGACCTACAGCAAAGAGGTTGTACCAGGGAACAGGAGGGAGAGCTAAGGCTTCTAGGCTTGTCAAGGAAGTGAGCTGTGCAATGAGAAGAAATACAGCAATGTATCATGGGGCCGGGCTCAAGAACAGAAAGGGGATGGGACCAGTTAGAACTCAGTTTAGGACAAACATTTCATTTAAAGCAGAGCCAATCAAAGGTGACTTAGCCAAGAGGCAGCATCACAGGAAGAGAGTATCCCAAATACTCCCCAAATGCCTCACACTTCTGATCCTTGAACCTACCAGGTGCATGTGCACAGATAGGTCTCTCCTCACACTCTCTTACCCTCCCCCAATCTCCTGATCCCAATCTCAGGCCAGATCCCATTCCTCCAAAGGCTGTGAATACAGCTTATATCCAGCCATTCTTACCCCCCAAGAACTTGCTGTATGTCTACCATGGAAAACCCGGTGAACTTGGGACACACAGGTTATTCTTGATGCTGCTAAAAAACTAGGTTTCTTACCCCTGTGTGGTACTCAGCTGTAAGATTTCTTAGCACCTCCTTAATGATCACTAGAAGGAAGGCCAGAACAGGCTCAGGAGTTGGTTCCTTAGAAGCAGCTTTGCATTCCACAGTCAGGATGCCCTGGTCCCTCACCCCTGAGTTGTTGACCTCAACCTGAGGGTGACACATGGTCCCTACCCCAAGTTGTTAAATATTCTAGCACACTGGTACCCTGTGGTGCCCTCTTTACCTAGAGTTCTTTCAGAGAAACTGCTTGAGAAGCTCTGAGCCAAAGCAGTGGAGTGCTAGAGCCCAGGGAAATACTTCCCACAGTCCTCTTACAGCTAGGAGATATATACCATCAATGGCTGATACATATGCTCTGATGAAGGCTGCCTTCCTTACCTAGTACAGATAAGGTTAGGTTCTCATATCACTTCAAATAAACTGGGTCTTAAATTATAGGAATATATAGAAACAGTAGACAATTAGCAAAGCCCTTACTAATTGTGAAATTATGTTTACATGAAACATCTAATTCAGCCATCCAAGCAATATAATGAGAGATGTTTTCACCCTTTTTTTTTAGGTGATAAAATGGATATTCAGAGAAGTGAAGCAACTTGTTCGTGCACACAGAAAATGAAGATGATGTAGGGTTTCCATCCAGGCCTTCTGCTTGGGCACAGAACCACTGCCACTCATTGGTTCCTTTCTGAGAGTGTTTATTTTCCCAGTTAGACAACTGGCCCTTTGAAAGTGACTTTTGCGGGTTTTGTAACTTCAAGCACAGTCTTTGGAGCCAGGGAGGCTCTAAGTGCCAACCTAAACTTCATCCGTTGTTCCTTTAGTTCCCAGTGCAATGACTTTATACTGTAGGATCCCCGTTTTCTCATCTGTAGCTTGGGGATGTCAACTAGCTCTAACCTGGTAGGTTGTAAATGGAAATAAAATGATGTATTCTGAGTAAACTGCCTAATTGCCTATTCAATGTTCTTGGGACATAGTAAATAATTACATATTTAGATTTAAAGCCAGTGCCAAGAGATGGCCTGAGAATGTTTGGGGCCAAGATGATGAGGAAGGGATGGACCAGATGGTGCCTGAGCAATGCTTCTTTCTTCTCTGTGCCTTTTCTCTAAAGGCTCAAGTAAAGAGGCCAATTTGCTTGCCTCCTCCTCCTTTTCCTTTTCCTTTTCCTTTTCCTTTTCCTCCTCCTCCTCCTCCTCCTCCTCCTCCTCTTCCTCCTCCTCCTCCTCTTCCTCCTCCTCCTCCTCTTCCTCCTCTTCTTCTCTTCTTCCTCTTCCCCATCATCATCATCATTGTCATCATCATATCTGGGACAGCCTTCTCTTTGATGCCCTTAGACATCAGGTCCCAGGATGTAGCCTTGGGACTGCAGGGCTTGCAGTAGCCACAGGGCTTACAGCAACAGCACCAGAGTATCTTGGCTGAGCCACAGTGCTAGCCTCCTTGGTCCTACAGCCTGCAGATGGGCATTTCAAAAGTTCCAAGCCTCCATATGCATGTGAGAGAATTCTCCTAATAAGCCTATCTATAATCCAGTCATCAACCTCTCTCTCCTATTGGTCCTGTTTCTCTGGAAATTCTAATTCAGATGGGCAGCTAGCTCCAAAGAACAAGGCTAAATTCCTCCCCAAAGAATGAAGAATAAGTCAGGCCTTAGAGACTCTGTTATCTATTCTAGGAAAATCCCTATATATTCTCAATATCTCTTCTATTTTACTTTAACCACAATCCTTCAGTACTGGGCATGGTGTCCCCACGTGGAGAAGCATGCTCTGACATTTTCAGGTGGAACAAGCCGCTTCCTTTCTAGAATTCCTGTATCACAATAGCATCCCCCCCACACCCTGCACAGATACAGCATCCTGTATTTCCATAGTGATATCATACCAGACTTTCAGTCATGAACCATCATTTCCCCTGAGTTCATGAGCTTATTTATTTTCTGATTATTATAGTTAAACCTTTATGTGACATGACATTATTCCATTCAAGTCTCACCTCCTTTGCTTAGAATAGCACCTGGTACCTAGTAGAGAGGACTTATGAATGAGAACTCATTTGACTACTACTTACGAACATTCATCTAACTTTGCATGTTTTAAATGGTTCCAACTCTTGGTTGGATTCAGATGGGAATGTCATGAGAGCAGGCATCTTTTGCCTTGTTACCAGGGTGGCCTCAAAATCCTGTCCAGGGCCCAGCATGTTAGACGCTCACTGAGTGTTTGTTGGATGCATGGATTAGGTAGAAGGTATTTGAGG